TGTGTGAAAGAGTGATGGTGGGACATCAGTGAGGGGCGCCGTGGCTTGATCTGCTTGAGAGATTTATGAAAGCGTAAACGGTAAAAGGTGCGGGCTTTTTTTCTGCTCATTACTTTTGCATCAACGCACCTACGTTGGATTGATCTCCTTGTGAATTTGTTTGCGTTTTCGCTTTTTCGCCTTTTCGCCTTTTCGGTAACGTGTGACAAGCCTTAGGGAGCGATTTGACCTGACTCGCTACAGTCTTCACCCGAATAGAACGCCCGGTCATTATAGGCTGTATTTGGCACAACTTTCAGCCCAGATACGGCGATTATTACCGGGCGTTCCATTCGGGTGAAGACGGTAGCCACACTTGATGCGGACGTGGCATTGGATGGTCACGATCTTGAAACGTAGTGGTACTTGCCGGAAAAAGAAAAAAAGAAAAAAATAATGCCATGTACCATCCCTCTATTCGCGAGCAACGGCACGTGGCATGCCTCAGCTCGAGGATCTCGAAGCAGCATGCCACGTGGCATGCCTCTGTTCGAGGATCTCGAAGCAGCATGCCACGTGGCATGCCTCTGTTCGAGGAGCTCGAAGGAGCATGCCACGTGGCATGGACAAGACCCCCCCTTCGCCCTGCGCTTGACATTCACGTGAGTTCCAAATTTGAGTACAAGTCCTCTGGTGATCGAGCTCGAGTTTTGACGTAGTGCTCTCGTGGCAAACCGAAGTCTTTTTTTTTTTTTTTTTTTTTTTTTGGGGGGGGGACAAAATGCTCTGTTAGATCAAGTTTGAGCTTTGTAGCATTGCCAAGTGGGATAGGAAAAAGTCCTCTGCTAGACGAGTTTGAGCTTTGGAGCAGTGCCACGTGGAGTTCGAAGAGAGTTCTTTTTTTCAAGCTTTCAATTAGTGCCACGTCGCATAAAGAACTGCTGTGTTGGATGAGTCTGAGCTTCGACCAACTGGCCTAGGTGAGTTGGTACAGCCCCCCTGGACTGAATTGTTGAAATACGGACCTGAGTTCGAACTCCAGTGGAACCCGATGAGTAAAATACTACAATTCTGAATTACCTACCGTCTTCACCCGAATAGAACGCCCGGTCATTATAGCTGTATTTGGCACAACTTTCAGCCCAGATACGGCGATATTTACTCTGAGCTTCAAACCAGTGCCACGTGGCCTAACCAAGTCCAGAAATTGGAAATTTGAACCAGTGCCACGTGGCCTAACAAAGGCCAGAAATTGGAAATTTGAACCAGTGGCACGTGGCCTAACCAAGTCCAGAAATTGGAAATTTGAAGCAGTTCCACGTGGCATAACCAAGTCCAGAAATTGGAAATTTGAAGCAGTGCCACGTGGCCTAACCAAGTCCAGAAATTGGAAATTTGAAGCAGTGCCACGTGGCCTAACCAAGTCCAGATAATTGGAAATTTGAACCAGTGCCACGTGGGCTAACCAAGTCCAGAAAGTGGAAATCTGAACCAGTGCCACGTGGCCTAACCAAGGCCAGAACTTGGAAATTTGAACCAGTGCCACGTGGCATGAACGAGCCCTGTGCTCTGTCAGCTTGTTGTGATCAAAACCATGTTAACTGCCACGTGTTCTCTCTCGCCATCGTCGGCCCCTGCTGCTGCCGCTGCTGCTGCCACGTGTCCTCCCTCATCATTAATCATCAATGAATCTCGCTTTGTCAAGCATGCCTGGCCAGTGACAGTGTATGTGGACTGGTTTATCCAATCTGTTGGCTTTTTGGGTGGATCACGTGGTGGATCAGACTAGTGCCACGTTGCATGGCATGCATGGCAGCTGCATGGCGTGCGAGATTGCAGAATAACGTCATCGTCCAATTTCTCGGGGCTTGAGATGCACACATGATGATGGAGAGTTTTTACGGTGGAGGAGAGGAGGAGGAGGACATCCAACAACAACAGTCTTCCCCCGAATACAACGTACGGTCATTATAGCTGAATTTGGGGCATCTTTCAGTCTAAATTCGGCTATAATGACCGTACGTTGTATTCGGGGGAAGACTGTAGTGTAGTAGTGTGTCTAAAGATTGAATTGAGTTCATCATCGGACTGTTTCATTCAATCTCTTGCGTCGGTGATGGGTGATTAGTGCAACGTGGCATGGCATGACAGGACAGTTCCCTGGCGTGCACGTGTCGTCAGAATATCATTGTCCAAATTTCTAGGAGCTTAAACTGATTGAAACTGATCGAAGCAAGACCGCCGATCGCCACGTGTCTATGTATCAACGAATAGAGTGTGTGTCATACGCGCATACCACCCTCTCTAGTGGGTCGAGGCTGTCTTAAACAAAAAAAAAAAAAGAAAAAAAAAAAAAAAAAAAAAAAAAAAAAAAAAAAAAAAAAAAAAAAAAAAAAAAAAAAAAAAAGACCACACATAGTTAATGCTCAATGCGCACAAGATGCAAATATGATGATGGGAAAAAAAAAAAATGTTATAGTGGGAGGAGAGGAAGATATTCTTCTCTTAACTTAAAAGTTTGTAGTGTCCAAGATTAACCGGTGTTTGTCATCTGATTGGCTTATCTAATCAATTTGCTCTGGTGGTGGGTGATTGGTGCCACGTGGCAGCATGACATGACATGACGGCTCCCTGACGTGCATCCGTGTCAGATTATCATTGCTTCGGGTCTCTCTGGGCTTACCTGTAAGAAGCAAACATGATGATGGACAATTGTAATAGTGGAGGGGAGGAGGAGGTCCAACTGGTGTCCCAGTTCGAATGGAGTTTATTATCATCGTCTGATGGTTCAGATCGGGATCGGGACTCTTCTAAAGTGAAATGTTTGTGGATTGATGTCCACCCCAATAAGCCATGGGTGCTGTGCAGCCCTAGCGCCATAGCAAAATCTCTTGAAGTCTGGGACTACGAACATGGAAGACGTGTGGCCTCCTGGATGATCCCTAAGCTGCATTGGGTATATAGTGGAAAATTTGTGGTGCAGAAAGAAGATTGGATCTTGGCACGGGGTGGCGCGAAGGCCTTCGTGTTCAAAATCCACACTTTAAGCTTGGAGTGCATCAAAGTACTTGAGCATCCCGGTAGAACGTATATGTGGCAGATGGCTGTCCATCCCACAGCACCCTATATCTTGACTTCATTTGACAAACTCATTGTTTTGTGGGTCTGGACCCAAGAAACATTATGGGAGAAGACTACCATAGAGTGTTACGTTCGTTCGATAGAGGAATTAAGGTTTCATCCCACAGATTCCAATATATTTGCAAGTGCCTCTTCTAACGGCGAGATCGGTGTTTGGAACATACGCAATAGGTCTTGTGTCCAAGCCATTATGATAGACATTAGGCATTACCATAGGCTGCTTTCTGGACTGGACTTTTGCAGCAGAGCTGATACTATTAGGCCACTTATGCTGTCATGTCATGACAGGTTCTCAGATGGGGAAGATGGAACCATAGTGATCTGGGACTATAAAAAGGGGGTTGCACTAGTGGAGTTGAGGATGAGTGATTATCGGGGTCTTAGGTCGGCCTTCTTCCATCCGCACTTGCCGTACGTCCTTGGTGTATCGCGCGATGGTATAATTAAGGTTTGGAAAGAGTCGAACTTCGACCTGATGTCGTCGTATTATGGTGGACAACGCTTTTATGTACAAGGCATGGCTCCTTGCAGACGCTCCAATCATGTAATTGCTTTCAATGACAAAGGTAAGTTCTTCGTGCTGCAGACCGTGACGAAAGGAAGACACGAGGAAAGATCAGACAGGATGCAAACGACAGCTGTCTCTCCAGAAAGGCCCCAGACGCACTTGCCGCCCATCGATGTCATCGACGGTGAGGAAAGTGGAGGTGGAGAGAAGATGCAGACGCCATCGGTTTCTGCAAAAAAAACGTCCCAGATTCCCTCGCAGCCAATCAATGTTATTGATATCGAGGAAGGTGGAGAGGAGATGCAGACAACATCGGTCTCTGCACAAAGTCTCTGGACCCACTTGCCACCAATGAATGTTATCGATGATGAGGAAAGCCGAGAGAAGATGCAGACAACAACAACTGTCTCTGCGAAAAGGCCCCGAACCGACTCGCCCATCGATGTTACAGATGATGAGGAAAGTGAAGAGAAGATGCAGACGACATCTGTCTCGGCAGCAAGCCCCCAGACCCACATGCCGCCAATGTATGTTATCCGTGAACCAGCAGCAGCAGCAGCAGCATTGCTACCTAAGAAAAGGGTTGTCGGCGAGGCTGATTGTGGCTCTCCGACTGCGGACAAGGCAGATTGTGGCTCTCCGGAGTTGGAGACGAGAGCCTTGCTGCCGATCGATGTTGCCGATGAAGCAGCAGCACCTGCGAAAAGGCCTCACAAACACTCGCCGGTGTCAGCGGCGTGGCCAATTGATGTAATCAATGAACCAGCAGCAGCATCGGCGGCGAAGCAAGTGGTTGTGGCCAAGGCTGATTGTGGCTCACCGACGGTGGACACGACTGATTCTGGCTCCCGGATGGTGGTCAGGGCTGACTGTGGCTCTCCAGAAGTTGAGAAGAAAGTTTCGCCGCTAATCGATGATGTTGCCGATGAACCAGCATCTGCAAAACGGCCCCGCACTCACTCAACGCCGATCGATGTTATCGATCAACCAGCAGCGAGATCGGCGGTACCGAAGAAAGGGGTTGTGGACAAGGCTTATTGTGCCTCTCTGACTGTGGACAAGGCTGATTGTGACCCTCCACAGTTGGAGAAGAGAGTAGTCCCACAGACATCTGCCTACTTGGAGCTAAAGTGCATGAAAGAAGTGAATGAGATGGGAAAAGAGCAATGCCATGCAGAGAGGGTCCAGGAGCTTGAGCTGAAGTGGCTGAAAACAATGCATGAAATGAGAGAAGGGCATGAAGATAAGGTCCAGAAGCTTGAGCTGAAGTGGATGAAAGCAGTGAATGAAATGAGAGAAGAGCATGCAGAGAGGGTCCAGAAGCTTGAGCTGAAGTGCATGAAAGCAGTGAACGAAATGAGAGACGAGCATGCAGACAAGGTCAAGAAGCTTGAAGATGAAGTAAGAAAACTGAAGACAGAGATGACAGCAATGGCAGAGAGGAACAGAGAGTCAAATCCAACGATTCAACCGGGTTAGATGGGAGGAGAAGTGTGTGGTCCCCACACGGCCACGCCAATTCCCCCCATCGGTGAGTCAGCATCAGTGTCAAAGGAAAGGCCTGTGGAGATGAAAGACGAAGCTGACTGTGGCTCTCCGGAGTCGGAGAAGAGAATCGAACAGGAGATGGATGGCTTGTAGCTGAAGTGGGATGAAAGCAGTGAAGGGGACGAGAGAAGAACATGCAGAGAGGGTTCAGAAGCTTGAAGAAGATGAGAAAAGACATTTATTTGACGGCAGGGATGGAAGCAATTGCAGAGAGGAGTGGAGAGTCGAAGCCCAAGGTCCCGGAGGCTTAGAGGGGGTGCAAGGGCAGCACACACACTGATAGAGAAATTTACGATAACTCAGGCTGAGTGTTGGGGAGAAGTTCCAGAACTCCAAGCTGCTGCAGATATAGCAAACTTCGAGGGACAGAACTGAAACTTGTCAAACGAATAATTAAACAAAAAGAGGGTATTTAGCTGTGGATAGACGAATTGGCGGAAAAGTTCATCCGTCTTCCCGTCTCCACACAACACCAACACCCCCCCCCCCCCCCCCCCCCCCCCCCCCCCCACCCTCCTCTCCCCCTCACATGTGGTTAACAAGGGGTGTTATTATCGGCGAATTTTGCACCGAGGCCCCCTGTTAACCATCTCTCCTCCCCCTCCCAAATAGAACACACGGTCATCACAGCTGTACTTGGGGCAGATCCCAGACTGAGTCTATAGATATATAGAGATGATGACCGTATGCTCCGTTCGCGGTTCGGGGGACAAACACAGTAGCTTGTTATGATGGAACAGAGCGAAAAAGAAAGATGAAAAAGTTAATGGACGAGGTTGTTGGGATTGGGAAGCCATCCTAAATATATGGTTATGGGTGGAACTTCGCCACGGATTTATTGTGGAAACAGGGTTTTGCTACCCTGCTGTTTTCGGTGCACAAGGCAAGGACTTTTCGCAAGCATGTGTGCGTGTGGGCATTTCGTATTACCGAATTGCAGGCCGGATGCTGACCAGGTTCAGAGTATCTGGTTTTATGAGTACATTGGAAATGGAAGTCTCTGGTGTGCGAGCTCGTGGGCGAATGGCAAATGGGAGCGTGGACGACTGAAGAGTATATGTGGAGGGGAGCCTGCAAGTTGGGAGTCCTGTGGAGCCATGTTCGCTTACTTCCTTGCAATGCTGGAGGGAGGGAGGGAGGTTGCTTGGGCCTTGTGCTTCCTTCATCCTAATAAATCAGCGGCTGCCAGTGCTGTCATCGTAAAATGTCGTCAACTACCACTTTTTCAGGACAACAGATTTACGGGGTCTGAGGTCAGTGACAAGATAGCCAAGCCAACAAAGAAGGGAGCTTGTGCAGGGAGCGCAAACACAAAGAAGGCTCATGTGTCAGTTTTGGAGGGCGTAAAAGCACAAAGACTGCTTCTGTGTTTGTTGTTTCATAGGGAGTGAAAACACATAGAAGGCTCATGTGTCTGCTTCCGAGGGAGTAGAAACACAAAGAAGGCTCAAGCACCCTTTGCAGAGGAAGCGAACACACATAAAGAAGGCTCATGCATCTGTTTTGGAGGGAGGAAAAAGGTAAAGAACGCTCGTACGTCTGCTATTTGAGAGGGAGAAAAAACATAAAGAATGTTCATGTGTCGGTCCCGGAGGGGTTTAAAACTTTCAAACACAAGGAAGGCGTTTTTTGCAGGAAGAAGAAGGGTCATGCATCTATTTCGGAGGGAGCAAAAAACATAAAAAAAAAAGGGCAGTGCGTCTGCCTAGGAGGGGCTAAAAACACAAAGAAGGCTCGTGCATCTATACTTGGGAAGAAAGTTTGAGTGCATTGCTACAAATGGCTTTGTGAGTTAAGTTTTCTTTTCGAATTTGTTTCTTTACTAAGATGATTGATACCTTAATATTTTGGAGTGAATAACTGAAGAAGATGCCGGGGAAGATGATGCGGCCACTATATATAGTATACTATATACCCTGAAGCAGCACTGCTTCGGGGTTCTCAATGTGGGTCGAGGAGTGGCGATTTCGAGTCGGCCTGTCCAGGTTTGGACAGATGCAGTCAGTTCAGCTTTATGACACCCAATGCTGACATTCTACATCGACAGGACTGAAGGGAGTTTCTGAAAATCAGGAGGGCTCATGGAGTCAGTGGAGAATGCACAAGGGGAGGATGTTTTAAAGCTGCTCCTAACGAAAGCATCCTCAAAGGTTGCTGCTCTGATTCTTCCTCAGGCATATTTGACAGCGGCACTGCGAGGACTCTTAGGAGAGGGCGATGGGGGGGAGAGGGGAGAGGGGAGGCTGGAGGGTTGATTTTTTCTCTTGTGTTTGCTCAGCAAGTGCAAGCCATGCCACTACCTCTAGTGGTTTTCCTTGGCAGGCAAGTAACCAGAGGAGAGATGGAACTAGCATGAGGGGGGGGCCAGGGG